TGAACTAAAGACACACAATCAGAAACATCAGGGTGGCTAAATATACATTATATGTGTGTTGTACAGGGTCTGGAAAGAAATGACACCCACCTCTCCCACAGGGTAATTGTAGAAAAGGGGAGAGGCCAAAGGGGTACACTGTATTTATAGGGTTGCACCAAAGAACAAGAAGGACAATGAGGAGGGGCTCCAATTGATAAAGAACATAACTACAGGCTTGAAGGTCCTAAAAGTCAGGTATAAACTGGAAAATAAAATTTGTAGTCTAGAACACATTTTGTGTAATTATAACAACATGTAATGTATGGCCGGGTTACACACGGAGTCAGACATGCTAGTAATTTTTAAAAGTGGTCTTGAGCAATAGTTCTCCAGGATTTGTGAAAGTCTTTGAAAGTTTTATCTTTGGATCGTGGCTGCTTTTTCTCTCACTCACAGTTCAGTCCTTGTACTTGACCACTTTCAGAGGAATGCTTGTTAAGCCACTTAACACTGACCTATGAATCAGTAAAGCATAAAAAGGCCCCTAACTCAAAGGGTGAACCAGTGCTATGTCTAAAAACAATGGCTGGCTTAACAAAAAAAAAAACAATTAAAGATTTAAAGGCATTTTGTTATTGCTATCCTGTCACAAAAACACATAAAATGATTTAATATTTCTTTAATGGAATCTATGAAAAATGTCAAAGATAGCACAGATTATGTTGCACCGACAAGGTGATTCCCAAAGAGCTATTAGCCAAAAACTTGTCATATCTCGAAATTGTGTTCAGTGTGGTCATAAAAATTGTGAGAAAACTAGAGAATTTCCTGCAGACGAACAATCTCTGTAAGTCAGGAATATGAATTTATTTATTTATTTTTTAAATAAGCTTGAAGACCTGAGAGACGCACCTGTCCCTTCAGTTAGGATGTCTTGAGCAATAGCTCTCCAGGATTTCTCCCCCCCATGTTATATTGTTTTCACCCTCTTGAGCTATTACAGGGGGTATCCAGATTTGAACCGGAGACCTCTTGATCTGCAGTCAAATGCTCTGCCACTGAGCTATACCCCCTACACAAGAGCAGTACCTGGCTCCAAACCGTTAACAGATGATCAACTGTTCGCCATCAGAAATGATCTCAATGGAAGGGTGGCTGCCAACAAGCTATTCTTAATGAAAAGGCAGAAACAAGGAAAGGTCTCAAGGAAAGGAAAGGAAAAGAAACAAGGAGAAAAGGCTGAGGTATGACAAACTGCACAAGAGCTGGCCTGGAATATCAGTGGGAACAGGTCCTATGGCGTGATGAATCCTAGTTACTAATATGACACTAGCAGCCTAAGAGAGAATTTAAATGTGCGTCTTTGTTCAAAATCCCCCTAAAAATTCACCCTAAAACTAAATTTGTTCCTTAACAAAGAAATTTGTCCGAAGCTTTTTTGTTAGGCTCACTCCTATTGGATATCCAATGGTAGTAATGACGCATTTTGCAGAACTCCAAGTTTTTTGGTTTGGTTCAACATCACAATTAAGTCTTTTTATAAATACATACATAAACAGGAATACGGTTACATGGACCAATTTCTTTTTTACAGGAAGCTACTGGGGATTTGTTTTCAAAAAGATTAATCATTTCTTAATAGCGACGGTCACGTCCACGTTTTGAAGCTGAGCCAGTATTATTCCCAGTAACTGCCTGTATATGAACGTTCTTAAAATTTGTGAGTAAACAAGACAAAAGATCTCAGACTTGTTGATTTGTGTTAGTCTGGGCCCGCTATTATCACGACACAAAGGAGTACAATGTTGTTACTGTACTCATCAGTGGAAACGGCCTACTTTCTCTTTCCATCAATATAGGACAAAACATGTTAAAGGCTCTTAACCACTTTTCCATGTCAAAGGTGATGTACTAAAAGTAGATGTTACTGTAGATCTCAGCAGTTTTCAAATGAGATTTTTAATGAGCTTACATTATGTGCTGTAGGGCAGCTACCAGCAGCTCTTTTGGGGTTTGTAGAAGGTCATCTGGGTTGAATGAGCCCATTTAGCTACACTGTGGAGGAATATCATGATAATGTAGCATGGTGCCATCCAGGCCGCCAGTCCCTAAAACAAGGAGGCTATTGTACTGTAGTAAAATGAAATGGGGTGGGGTGGGATGCTCAGATTGTGCAATGAATTTTATGGAAAACAGAATGATTACTTCTTCATACTGGAAGCTGTGGGGAAAAACAAAACAGGATCAGGCACTTACAATGACTTCAGCTCCCAGCACACTGGAAATATTTCTTCATCACTTTTGTATGTTGGTTCCTTTTGTATGTGCTGTCAGTTACTCATTGATTTTATCACAATTTACACTGTGTTTGCATTAAGTGGATGTGCAGCGACTGCACTATTAAACTGCACGTAGTGTTTTGTAAACAAAGTAGACCTCCAGTACAGAAATAGCGGATGTCCTTCACAGATCTGCAGCAAACCATTTTTTTTTATCAGCTATTTATCCGAATAACCTTCGTTTCATTAAATTCATGTTATGCGCTGATAGATGTCAAAGTCACAGCCAACTTTCCACAACGCCAGTGTGTTAAGTTGTTTTTTATATACACGGTAAATGGACTGGTTCTTATATAGTGCTTGTCTACTCTATGTGAGAACTCGCTTTTATACTACAAGCCTCATTCACACAACTGCTTATTCTATGTCTAAGCTTATTTAATCTCACATTCACACACTTTCTCTTAGGGGTTCGGCGGGTCGGTGGCGTTTAGTGGGGTTCAGTGGGTTTGGTGGGATTTGGTGGGGTTCGGTATCCTGCCCAAGGAGACTTTGGCTACGTCCACACCTACACGGGTATTTTTGAAAACGGAGATTTTCCGTTTTCGTTTTAAAAAATAATCCCGTCCACACGTAAAGGCAGAAATGAAGGAAAACGCTGCTAGGAACATGCCAAAGCAGCAGGTGGCGCTATATTCCTAACCGTGCAGAAATGTTGGCCAATCAGAAGTCTAGAAGCCTCGGTGGGAAAAAGTAAACAAAGCTGGGGCATAGAAGCAGAACCGAGTCTTATGTGTGGAGGGACAGTAACTGTGTGTGTATATGTAAGCATTTAAACACTACAGAGAGTACAAGTAACAGTAACAGTATTGTAGAAATTCATTTCACCGAAACAATAACGTGGCGCACAGTGTGACGTCAAAAAATGCGCACACCTTTGACGCTGCGTGTCTCCGTTTTTCTTGTCCACACGTAAATGCAAAAATGGAGTTTTAGAAAATATCCACCCTGGCCGGAGTTTTTAGAAATCTCCGTTTTCAGTGACCGAAAACGCCGTTTACATGTGGACGAAAGGTGCAAACGCATAGAAAAATCTGCGATTTCAAAAATACCCGGGTACGTGTGGACGTAGCCATAGTAGACAACCAACACTACCTCCACATGACGAATTGAGAAAAGGGAAGATTTTTATATCTGCCAAACAGAAGCAAGCTGTTTGAAATTATTTTGATTTGTAGTGAATCAATCTCATGTCTGTAATTTATATTTTTAGATTATTGGACTCTACTGGAATAGGTCTGCATAATTAGAGTTCAAAAGACTTCTTTATCCTATATCTTTATTCACTGATGTCCTAGACAGCCAAGAGTAGAGTAGAAAAAATGGTTGAAAACTGTATTTAGAGAACTTTAGGTTCACCCGTTCGCCTCCTTATTTACCGCAAACATCTATCATCAGCCGATCACATGGAAGCAGCTCAATGCTTTTAGGCATGTAGACATGGTAAAGGTGACCTACTGATGTGAAAACTGAGCATTCAGTGACTTTGAATGTGGCATGGTTGATGGTGCCACGTGGGCTGAATATTTCAAACCACTGACCTACTGGGATTTTTCATGCATAGCCATCTCTAAAGTTTGAACAACAGATTACTTTAAAAAATTGTTGCCTGGTCTGATGAATCTGAGTTTCTGCTGCATGATTTGCTAGGCCCAGAATTTGTCGCGAATGACATGAAAATAGTGAGCCATTCTTTATTGTATCAAGCATTTAGGCAGCTGGGAGGGACAGTTTCAGGAGATTTCAGTTGAGAAATTGTTTTCGGCAATTGTTCTTTGGACTTTTGGAAGGTCTTCCAAAAAAAAAAAAAACAAAACCCCAAACTAATGTCCCCTTCAGATCTCAACTGCTCTGGCAGTTCTCAGAGTTGTCTTTTTCATTGGTGGCTCTATAGGGGGCATCTGGAATTGAACCAGAGACTACTTGATCTGCAGTCAAATGCTCTACCACTGAGCTATACCCCCGAGCTATACCCCCTATGCAAGAGTTGCACCGGGCCCTTCAGATGATCTGTAAACTGTTCACCAATGCCCCACCACAAATGGTTTCTTCTTCACATCCACCCTGGTGGTGTAATGATGTGATTAACATTTTCTTGGCGCACTTTGGGCCCCTTTGTACCCATTGAGCATCTAACAAACACATAACAAGTTTTTTGCGTGGGCTGTTGCTGGAAGTCAAGATCCCAGAAACTGCAGGAGGAGCGGAGCAGAACAAAGTCCAAGGTGTTTAAAGTCCAGTATGAAGTTACCACAATATATGATCTATGATTGC